GAAAGCAATTGAATATACACAATTAAAGGAGAGATGCTATAAAACAATTTTATTACAGATTATAATCTGGAAGAAATTAGCATATTTTCATGAAGTAAATTAAAATTTGCTGGTGACCATCAACCAAAATACTAAAACATTTTTACATTACTTTCAGATAGGAATAAATGGGGTAGTTTGTTACAGATGTTGAATACCATTGTGAATTCAGTTTATTCCACATTTTTTCCACGGATTGAAATTTCAGTATTACCTTGGCTAATTTAGGATTACCAGGGAGTTAATATAAGAAAATTACCCAAATGAAGCACTGGAGATAAGCCTTCTAATGCTAAACCGATTAACGTTTTTTAGTAATATAAATTTTCTATATTAGCTAAAAGTAGAATTTCTGTAGAGTCAAGGGTTATAATCCTATTTAAATAACATTTTTGTGTTCTCAGTTGGATTTGTTATTTGTAACATTATATCTTGTGTCTATTTGATCCTTTCAAATCATTACTTCATTTTGCTAGCACTATGATACTTAAAAAATGTTTGGTGCTTAGAACACACATCATCCTATAAGGGTCATATCATCCAGTTATTAATTCTTGTATTTATTTAGCACCTGTTTGGTGCGCACCTCATGTGTGTCAGAGCATCTTCTGTGTGCTGTATGTGTTCTGTGTGCTGTGAGCACCCAGACGGGGTCACTGCCTTCATTTCACAGCTGGAAACTTGTTGTGGGCAGAAATAGTGAGCAAATGAGAGAAAATCAACAAGTAATGAAAAAGCATGGGAAATATGAGTTAGGTGATAAGGTCTCTGCTGGGAGTCAAAATAGGAGATCTGATAGCAAGTGTCTGGGAAGGTAGTTTAGACTGATCCAGAAAAGCTTGTCTGAGTTTAGCACATTTAAGGTGCCATGTAAGTGGAAAGAAGGACCAGTCTTGGAAAGGTCTGAGGAAGAATGTTCTAGACTAAGAGAGCAATAAATCCAAGAGATCTGAGTTACAAATAAGCTTGTGTGTTCAAGGAAAAGAAATAAGGCCATGATGGCTGGAGCATAATTACAGAGCTACAATAATGGGAAAGCCGTGAGGGCAGGGACTTCTTGTTATATTGACTAATGTATTCACTGTATCAAATAGAACCTGGCACATAGTAACTGGTCCTCAATATGTATGGAGTAAATAAATGAATGAATGAAAGGATCTGATTCAGGGTGAATTTAGAGATTTAGGGAAAGGCTTGATCATGAAGCTACAATGAGATGTTTAATTTTATCTTAAACATAGAATATTTTAAGGGGATGTGTGGTAGACTGAATAATGGCCCCCCAAAGATATCCACTTCCTAATTCTTGGAGCCTGTGAATATCATTTTACATGGTAAAGGGAACTTTGCAAATGGGATTAAGTTAAGGATTTTGAGATGGGGAGATTATCCTGGATTATCCAGGTGGGCTCAGTGTAACCACAGGTGTCCTTATAACAGAGAGGCAGGAGGATCAGAATCAGAGAAGGAGATGTGACAAGAGATGCTGAGGTCAGAGTGATGTGAGCTCAAACCAAGGAATGCAGGCAGCCTCTAGAAGCTTAAAAGTCAAGAAAATTCTCCCCTAGAGCCTCCAAAAGGAGTCTAGCCCTGCTTATCCGCTTTAGACTTCAGACCTCCAGATCTGTATATAAATGTGTGGTGTTTTAAGCACTACTTCTATGGTAACTTTTTACAGCAGCAATAGGAAACTAATACAAGATTATTCTAAATTAAAGAAAGTGTTTGGCCATTTAATAAGTTGCAAACATGAAGAATGATACATTTTTTAAAATTAAATACCATTTGTAATGTAAATTAAAGTGCATTTTAAATTTAGTTACAAAGTTTAGCTGGATCCTTCTTCCTGAATCTTCTGTACTCTCACAATAGACTTACTAATGTAAGAGGATAAGAGAGTTGTAGGGAATAGGAGGACAAGTGGATCTAAGTTAGAATGAGAGGAGTAGCTAAGAAAACAGTGTTGTCAGGGGAAGAAATGAGTCCAGTAGACAAACGGAAAGGAGAGGGAAGAGAAGGGGAGGAGAAAGGAAAAAAGAGAGTGGGAGGTTGAGAGGGAAAGGACATGAATTACCTGTTGCTGCATAACAAATTACCCCAAAATTTAGCAGCTTAAAACAACAAACATTTATCTCACATGGTGTGTGAGTGTCAGGAATCCAGGAATGGCAAATTTGGGTAGTTCTGGCTCAGGGTCCCTCATGATGCTGCAGTCATTTGAAGGTTTGACTGGATCCACTTTCAAGATGGCTCACTCACATGGCTGTTGGCTGGAGGCCTCAGTTCTTCACCACATGGGCTCTTTATAGTACTGCTTGAGGGTCCTCACAGCATAACACAGGCTTCCCCTCAAACAAGCAATCTAAGACAGAGAGCTTGGAGGAAGCCACAGTACCTTTTTTATGACTTGGTATCAAAAGTTACTCACAGTCACTGCCACCATATTCTGTTGGTCAGAAGCAAGTCACTCGTGGAGAGAAGGTTTGGGCTCCACCGTTTGATGGGAATTGTCAAAAAATGTGTGGACATACCTTAAACCACCACAGAAGAAAGAGAGGAAGAAATGAAGCGAAATTTGAGCAGAACACCCATTGCTCATTTGTTCACAGAGAATGTCTAGATACGTCCATTTTTCTCCACTAATCTCTCTCCCTTCAGCCAAGATCTAATGGATATGCGTGTGTATGTGAGTGTGCGTGTGTGTATGAGTGTATGTGTGTGTGTGTCTGTAGCAAGACAGATGTAGAGTCCCCAGCTGTTCCCCACTTTTGACTGCTGCCAGATATATCAATCTTTATCTCAAATGTCCCCAGAGACTGCTGATTCTACACTCAGTACACTCGAGTTCGTCTCTGTCCAGATACTCTAACCAAAACTCACAGTTTTGAGAGCCCCCTGCAAGTGGCTGCTGAATTCCCCCAAAAGAAATTCTGCCACATTACATCCACTTTGCCAAGTCCTCATCCAAACAGAGGTGGTGGAGCCGTCCCTGATCAGAGATCCACTGTAGGTGTCATCAGTTCAGGAAGCACTGTGGGTTGCAGGTATAAATTAAGACAGAAAGTTCAGAGATATGGATCAAGCACGGTGATATGTTCATTGAAATGTGAAGAACAGGTGGAGCCAGCCTGGAGAGGTGGAATGAATGTGAACTAGGAAACTTCTGTCTGAGCACAATTCTGAATTAGCTTACTCTAATTAATGAATTAATGAGAAAGGAAAGGAGAGAACAGTCCAGTAAAGAGATGGCATCTCCTTTCCCAACCTTCCATCCTTCAGATATTATATGAGGCCTTTACCTTTGCTGTGGTTTTCCCCTTTCCTGACCTCTTTTCTGTTTGTTTAAAAACAGTAAAAATTCCTTTATTATCGTAGAATGCCTTTAGAGTCTTTTAGATTTATTGCATGTAAAAATACAAAAGTCTCTCTCTTGCTATTTAGCTTTTATAGGAAATATATTTTACAGCAAAACCTATCACTCATATTTTAAAACATTTACAAACCTCAATTTTCATGTATTGATATTTTCAAATCAAGGACTGAGAATGAAAAAGTTCATGTTTTGTTTCCGTATACTTGCATTGTATACTTAAAAGAACAGATGTCTTAATGTGATACTCTTAAAAGTTATTCTCAAATACTAGGGTAGATATTAATTTCACTTTAATGTGCTTTTCAAAACTGAAAAAATAATTATTTTACTAGAAAAAAGGATATTTTTGCAAGACTGCAAATGACTGGAGGTAGCAGTTTTGATTATTTAGATTATCCAAAGTTTAGTAAAACATTTCTTAATGAGATAAATAAACAGGTTTGCATATTATTTAAGACAAGATAAATGCATCTGATAATATTCCTAGCATTTCAAATTCATCCAAATCGGAATATATTTTTGAGCACCCTTCTGTGTACCATTGAGCATATTTTGTGTTCTCAATTTTGGATGCTAATAGCAATTCAGACATGCACACAGAGGTGAATAGAGAATGGTTGATGTGCTAAATCAGAGGTGGGCAAAATTTTTCTGTAAAGGGCCAGATGGTAAATTGTTTTGGCTTTGTGGACCATATAGTCTCCGTCACACTCAACTCTTCCCTTGTAGGACAAAAGCAGCCATAGACAATATGTAAATGAACATGCAGGGCTATGTTCCAATAAAACTTTATTTACAAAAACAGGCAGGCAGAATTTGCCCTCAAGCCAACCCCTTGCACTAAAGGATCGATTTATACATACTGGGCACCAAAAGCATTTTGTTTCCTTTGCATTTACTTAAATGAAATTCCCAGTAAATGTTGTTTTGAAAGACAGTGGGAAGAGTTTGTCTCTATAGTCACATTTTTATAGAGCTGATTTAAAACTGTTAGTCACTTTAGTTATTAATCAAACATTGTCGACTTTCAGATTAGTAATATTAATGCCCTTGGATTGTTCAACATGAGCAATGCGAGAAACTAATAAAACAAATTTCAGAAATAAGTGTGTTCTGTTTATTCTATTCATAGCACAATAGCTGAAACACAATCACATCTTAAAATATATTGAAAGTTTGTTAACCAAGTAAGCTGGAAGTTGTGTTTCTGAAGACAACTAAGGTACTTTATGCCCAATATCTGCAGGGATGATGTCTATTTAGGTTAGTCTTGAGGGGAAATACTGTCTTTCTTTCATAAGAAAATAAAATATTGTTCTCTGTTTCTTTTGCCTTTATGTATACTGTTCTGAACAACAAAAAGAATAATTATTTTAAAAGCATTTTCAAATGGTATTATAACATATATGCAATACTTACGACCTTTTCTAAAATTAATTCCATTTTACAGTCTTGTTAAAAATATTTAAAAGCCTGAAACATTCCATCTGTCCTAAAAAATTTTGCTTTTGCTTTACCAAATCAGTGAGTTATGCTTTGTCCATTGTAGACATGCCTTCCACTTTGTACTGCTCTCTGTCATTTACAGGAGTCCTTTGGAACCTCTCGTCTTGCGATGCACTCAAAATGCCCATCATCCAGGACACCCTGGCAGTGTTGACTAACGCCGTGATTATCCCCCACTCGGGCTGGGAAAATTCACCGCTTCAGGACGATCGGAAAATACAGCTGCATTCCTCACAGGTGCTGCGAAATGCCACTGGTTGCCTAAGGTGAGTCCTATGTCACTGCCGCCTCCTCCTATCATTATGAACTCTCTCTTTCTGTGTCTTTAATTGCTGTTTTACTAAAGTGTTCTGAAAGATGAGTGTTGATATGGCAATGGAGTGCAAGAAGCTAGCCAAAACCATTTCTAATGAGATACTGAAGAGATACAGGCCTCTTCCACTATCCTGTACCTACAGCGGTATTTGACTTATTTAACCTGTTTTCTTAGGTCTTAGGCAAAAAATAAACATTTTCATTCCAAACAAAAATAATTAGCTTTCTTTGATGGAAAACAATAGTTCACAGTAATTTCCCATATTATGTTGTATCATGCACATAGAATAACCAGGCAGGCCAGTTGGTAGGGGAGAGTCTATGACAGATACATAGGGATCTAATTCACTGTCACCAGAAGCTATTTTTATTTTTTTTGGTTTTTACAAGTTTTCTGTGTGACTGCAAGAGCCTACAATTCTTAGAAATAGCTCTTTTATTAATAAGGCTTGTGGTATGAAATGTTTTTTTGAATAATAAAAGTAGCAAATGTGTTGTAGTTATCTCCCAGTGCATGTATACAAAAATCATCCCCCAGAAATCTCTTGAGATGTCTGAGAATCATCTTTAGGTTTTGTTTAATTTTTACTCTTAGAAAAGAACATAATAATCAAGGAATAGTTCTTTCAAACTCTAGAAACTGTGTTCTCGAGGATGTTGTATTGTGTACCAAAGTTGGAAATCTCTACTGGATAAACTTTAATCATGGGATGGGGGCAAAAGGGTGACTTAAAATACCTAGTCAAATAATCTATATTTCCAAAATAAAATGTACAGGATTGCTTTAGCTGGGCTGCCTCAAAGCTGCTATTTCTCCTACAGTTGATAAGTTTCTAGGTACAAAAACCAGTCTCTATTGAGAAGGAACAAAATCACCTCAGTGACATTAATAATAATTATCTCATGAATATTTATAACAATGCTCTTAGCCTCCAGTCTTGAGAGGGGTGTGTGTGTTTCTGTGAATATGTGTGCGCAGAAGGAGATAAAGAGTCAGCCTCCATAAATATCGATGTGCACACACAGGAAGGAATAGGAAATCCTTTGACGATTTTGATTTTTCTCAAGGTCATGAAATAATGATCTTTTGACATGATTTCTCTGGATAGACTCTACCATAAGCCAAATTTACAGTTCTCCAAAATCCCCTATTGAGACATCCATTTTATAGCCTCTTAAATTCTATTATCCCTCTGAAACCTCCTGCCCCACCAGAAGAAATATAACTCTTCCAAAGCTAAAACTGTAGGCACTTCTGACCCTTTTTACCTGATTTCTCTATTTCAGTTATTTACAAATAGTTTTTCCCCTTTTAGCCTCCTTGACTTGTATAGAGTGTCAGCATTCCTAACGAAGATTGTGGAAGTGCCAGAATCAATTGTAGAAGTATAGCCAGTAATGACCTGATTAGCTCTGTCCATTAAAAGTTCTCTCTGGGGGCCAGCCCGGTGGCGCGAGCTGTTGGGTGCATGCGCTCCGCTGCGGCAGCCCGGGGTTCGCCGGTTCGGATCCCGGGTGCGCACGGACGCATTGCTTGTTGAGCCATGCTGTGGTGCCGGCCCATATAAAGTGGAGGAAGATGGGCATGGATGTTAGCCCAGGGCCAGTCTTCCCCAGCAAAAAGAGGAGGGTTGGCAGATGTTAGCTCAGGGCCAATCCTCCTCACCAAAAAAAAAAAAAAAATTTCTCTCTGAATAATATAGTAGCATAATTATATATTCATGATGTTTGACTTCAGGATATAGGCCACCATCATTATGAGTGTACATTCAACATCATTTGATGAAAAGTCAGATGAAGAAGCCAGACCAGGTTCACAGGTCCCCTTTGTAGGTGATCTGGCTGAGTTTAAAGTCTGGGGCATGACATAGAGCCAAGTTGGGTCAGACCAGGATGACTACCCATCCCTCTCTTTTCACACACACAGGCTTGATCCATGCTTCTGGGGCTGTCCAGGAGTGACCACACCATAGGAAATAGAAAAGGGGGACATCTGACTTAGAAAGAGTTTTATGTAGCCAAATTAGGTTTCCTTAGTCAAGACACAACCAGGTTTATGGTTTTCCCGCTTTTCCGCGTTTATCATGTGAGTGACAAAGCAAAACCCATCAATATATATGTGAATATTTAATTCCTCCCTATTTCATTAAACTCCTGCCCTTCTACGGAAAGAAATATAATTTCTGTTGTCTTATTCTAATGTGTTTATGAATCATTCCACGTTAATGAGCAGATTGGACTAAGAGAGGAAGAAAACAGCCCTGGGAAGGAGCTAAAAGGAATTTATCAAATAAAGACTCAGTGGATGAAAGGTTTCAAGAAATTTCTACTGTCATTTGCCACTTACTTAGAACCAATGTTGACAACACAACAAAAGAGTCACAAATGTTTATATCCTGATAGAAGATTCTAGATTTTAGAATGTGAGGTTATTTATATGCTTGATTTTTTCCATTAAAGCTTAAATCTTTATTTACATTAAAGAAATTACTGCATATGTTGCTCCTGCCTTTCAACAGTTTTATCCCTGAGCATTTGCTGAGTGCCTGCTATGTGCCAGGGAGGGAACAGGGAGGCAGACATAAACATGGCAGCCTCTGTCCTTCAGAAACTCATAATCTAGTAGAAGAAAATGGTACCCATAATACTTAGCCCTAGTATTATATTTCAGTGGCTTTTTAATGTAATGATCAGGATGGTACAGAAGGAAAAACTGGGGAGCGAGTGGCTAACTCAGCCAGTAAGGTCACAAAAAACTTCAGGGATCAGAAGAGATTGGGGCTAAGCAAAGAAAGGACTTCACCAATCAATGCAGTGGGAGAGTGTGCATTATGGCCAGAAAGAGTGGCAGCCGTGCTCTGACACAGACATGAGAGAACTCCAGGATCTGTACATGGTCTACAACCCTAGGAGACTTCAGGAAATGCAGCTTGCAGAGTTGTTCCATTCCAGATGATGAAGGGTCTTCAAAACTGAGCTAAGGAGAATAGATTTGAGTCTGTAAGGAGTAGAGAGCTATGGTGAATCTTTGACCAAGAGAACACAATGGTCAGCCGTATCTGGGAGCAATTGTAGGAGATAGAGTGGAGGCAGGCGGGGAGAGGAGAAGCGACATGAAGAGTGGAGCTGTGAATTTACCAGGGATGCCCTCGTTTTTAAGATACCTCCTGTGGACAGCAGTAAATATCAATATTTTGTTCCATTCGATTAAATTTAACTGTCACTAATTCGAAGCTATGTAAACTATTTCCATAGCTGTTTACATTTTAGTTCTGCTTTTCATTTTGGAATTTTCTTTTCTTTTCAATCATAATATTCTTATTGAAATGATAGTTTCAATATCTTATTCAATTATTTAGACTAGTTTCATGGCACAAATCATTATTTTTATGCAACTGAGGTTCAATAAATCAAATCCTCCAAAGCACGAGGGTATCAAGCACACATCACTGTGCTCGATTATGGATATTGCAATAGACTCAGAAAAGTCCTCCTGGAATTGCAGAAGTTGATTTGAATGTAGTCCTTAAAATGTAAATTAACAACCAGATCGTCTCAATTTGTAAATCAGATCTGGGCTTATACCTTTGCAAGGAACATTTTTTTCTGTCAAAATATTTAGAAAGAATTTGGTGTTTCGGTTCTTCTTACAACAGAAAAAGATCACGGCAATTGTTCTTCTAGTAATTTTTATGTACTAAATGCGTATGATATATAAAAAATGATGTAGTGAATTTGTACAAGATGATATAGTGAGTTTGTGTAACATCTGCATGCTTTGATCTGCTCCGTTAATTTATGGCTTTACTCTTGAAAGTTACCTAAATTGTGTAAAAATGCCAAATATACATGTTATAATTTTTTCGAATGTATCATAACCACGACTATCATATTCCATGAAATCAGGCTAAAACATAAGCATTTGATTCAGGACCTTGTTTAGTTGGTAACAGAGACAATAAATCGCATTTGGCCTTCAACTGTGTCTGTGTGTGTGCTTGTGTGTGTGCCTGTGTGTGTGTGTGTTTAAGGAATTCTACAGAAAACTCTGGAGATAATTGACTAGTTCAGAATAAACTAAGTGTCACAAATAGCAAACAATTCATTTCCCTTGGTGTGATTTATGGATATTCCACTGTGTCGAGGCAAAGAAAAATAGTAACTTCAAAAAAAATGAAATAAAATATGTACAAAACATTTCTTACTAGCAAACTTTTGTTCCTTTTTTAGATCTTATTCTTTATTAGGAAAGCATTTTAAAAACTAAGACTATTGTTGAGGACCATTCTGTTGTATTAAAATTCTTTTCAATTATTTCCATTTCTATACTTCAACTTACAGAAATTGTCCATAGCCTTTAAGTGCTAGGAGTTAAATAAAATTCAGTCCTTGCCATAATTATATATTTTATAAATTTGATTTATACATTATAAATTATACATTATAAAATTTGATTTATGCATTACGATTCATTAACTTTGGATGAAAAAAATTACAAGCAGCAAAGTAGCATGAGGTCACTATTTAAATATATTTTAATATGTGAGATGTCAGTTACATTGGATTCAGTGTCTGTCCTCAGGTGATGTTTTCCCTAATATTGAGTTGGAATGGAAACTCCTTTCTCAAGAATTGTAGAGAAATTGAAGAATGGAGCTGTGTGTGTGTGGGGGTGTGGGTGTGTGGGTGTGTGCGTGTTCGTTCATTTGTTCATTCATTCATTCATTCCAAGGTATGACCTGGCAACATAATGGATGTTCATTAAATCATTTTGTACATTGTCAATGGAGACAAGATTTTTAAACAAAATTAAAATGAGTATTTTTATTCATAAAATCTCTGTCTTCTAAGGACCAGAAAGTTCAGCTTCAAATACATTGTTTGTTCTTGATTTATTGTAAGTTCAATAGCTCATGTTTAGTAAGTCAGGAAGCCAGTACTTGCACCCACA